TTATTATTATTATTATTATTATTATTATTATTATTATTATTATTATTTCTTTAGTGAGATTCACAGCCTTTGGGGCTGGTTGGTAGCTCAACAGCTCAAGTCCTAACCAAGGACCTAGGAACTGTTATGGTAGGGTTGGAGAATATAAGCTGTTCTAAGTAGGGTGATGTTTTGTAGAATCAGGGTATTCAAGTCTGATAAATTCAGAATTTCCAAATAGCGAGGTAGTCCTTTAGGTATTGCTCTAAGGGCTCCAATTACAATTTCTTTTTCTAAAGTTGCTCAACTTCAATTTGTAAGTCCAATACTTTGTTATTTTTTCTTGCTGCGTGTCTTCAATTCGTGCATCACCAGTATTGCAATGTCAATGAACCAAACCCTTTTCTTTTCAACTATTGTTATGTAAGGTGTGTTGCGGGTCAAGTGCCTGTCAGTCTGAATTCTGAAGTCCCACAAGATCTTGACTTTTTCATTCTCCAGAACCTTCTCAACTGGATGTTCCCAGTAGTAGTAGTAGTAGTAGTAGTAGTAGTAGTAGTAGTAGTTATTATTATTATTATTATTATTATTATTTGACACAAAAAACGACAGTGAGCAAATGAGATAACTATGCTGGATTTTGTATCACAAATTACCAGTTGAACACTTCTCAAGTGTTCCGGACTAGGTAATGTATTGGCGGATTATGCAAGCAGATCCCAATAAGGTGGCCTTCTGCAGCTGACCAATGGTGATTTTGTCAGTGCCAATTGTTTTTAAGTGCTTGCTTAGGTCTTTAGGCACAGCACCCAGTTTGCCGAGTACCACTGGAACCACCTGCACTGGTTTATGCCAGAGTCTCTGCAGTTTGATTCTCAAGTCCTGATATCTGATGATTTTTTCAAGTTGTTTCTCGTTGATTCTGCTGTCACCAGGTATGGCAATGTTGACGAACCACACTTTTTTCTTCTCCACAATTGTGATATCTGGGATATTGTGTTCCAAAACTTTGTCAGTCTGTATTCAGAAGTCATTTTCAACCACGTTTTCAGGCTTATGATCCCACCAGTTATTTGCTACAGGCAGATGGTAGTTGTGACACAAGTTCCAGTGGACCATCTGAGCAACTGTGTTGTGATGTTGTTTGTAGTCAGTCTGAGCTATTGTCTTGCAACAGTTCAGTATGTGATCGATGGTTTCGTCCGCTTCTTTGCAGAGTCTGCATTTGGGGTCATCAGCAGATTTTTCTATTCTGGCTTTGATTGCATTCGTTCTGATGGCTTGTTCTTGGGCTGCAAGAGTCAGGCCTG